ATTCGTGATCAAATCATGGAACACACTCTATTGCATGTTTGGGCCGGACTTCCACAGAAGGGAAAAGAGGAGGAAGCACATGGCAAGGGAGGAAGAACTCATGATGAGTACAAATATCATAACTGTGTATTTTTTTTTAATTTTAATCACTGTCTGTACGCTGTGTGTACGGTTCATATCAAAGGAATTCATGGAGTTCCAATGCTAATACTTGTAAGGTTAGTGAATTGGTTCAGTGACTTTCATAAGCCCTTATCAAAGCAATATTGAGATTTTGTCTTTCTAATTATAACTCTGCAGATTATCCATGGATTCTTGGATATCTGTTCCCAAAGGCATCCCTGGGCATACATACTGCAGTGCTTCTGCACCGACAAGTGGGCTAATGACCAGTTTGAGTGGCTCTTCACAAAGGTAACATTACATGTACATGTAATTTTAAGGAGTGTCAGTATAGATAAGGGCTACAGTGCAAATATTATGTAGGGCATTTTACAAGATTTCAAGTAATTGTGCAGTCACACTCACAAGTCCTGTTATTTTACCCAAAAGTATTTCTATGAGAGGTAATGCATTATAGGATAAAGCTGGGGCTACAGGTTGCCGTTTACACAATTTTTACGTTCATCTATTTTTTTTCTGGATAGAATTAAAAATAAACAGAAAACATTCACAACCTTTGATAGAGTTCTTCTGCCCATCAGCATTGGATGTTGATGGTGGCAAATCCCAAGAGCAAACTGTTGCAGTGTTGAACCCCACTGGAGTGACACAAAATAATGCATTCTACCTGGAATGTTGGAGGTAACTACATGTATCCCTTTTTTCCATTTAAAATATCTCAGATAAATACAAATAGATGCAGAAAGTCTTTTGACTCCACCTGTTTTAAAATATCTACAATGCAGAGCTGCAAAGAGTGGATGAGAGAGAAAGGCCTTATTGTCACCCGGAGGTATCCAGGAGAGAAACAAGTATTGCACAGCATGTACTTTGACAAAACCAGGTAAAATGCTGGTTTTAGAAATAGGGCTCAAAAGTTTGCACTTTAGTTTCTTACAAAAGAGTTTATTCCTCTCGTTTTCACATCATGTTTCCAAACAGACTAGACATGGATGCACTTTTTTATGAATTTAGCAATTTGTGATCCTTTTTTATAAATATGAAAATATACACCCACTATCATTCACTGGACATAAATGAAGTGAGACGAATGTTAAAAAGCGCAGTTGGATTATCTAATTGCTAACTTTTATCAGTTTCAAAGCTCACAGCAGGTTTTGGATTGGAGGTAGCTGGTAATGTACATGTACATGTATGATGTAAATCAATACTTCTCTGATCTTGGCTGGTACCCGCCGCTGCTTGAATTCAACGGTTCCTCACCACTCGCTTTGATGTCACGTTCCTCCGAGATTGACACGGTTCCCCTCCTCCATTCCCGTTCTCAATCTCTCTCCATCCAGTAAGGGCAGAACCTTTTAACTCAGCGCTTGCCGTCCATCCCGTACATGTACACCCAAACCTGAAAGTATTGCAGAGTAAAGTGTTCTTAACACCACAAATGTAATCAGCTTGTGCAAAGATATTTCAAAATATTTCATAAGAACTCTAAGTAAGTTCTTATGAAATGCATGGATGCAATTTACATACAATGTGAACTTGTAATACTGGCAAGGCTGTAGGAAGCGGTACGGCAGGTACGGCTATGGCCATACCAATAATAACAGGCCTATCTTTTTTTTTAATGTATACAAGGCCTTGCATGGCCCCAAGGGTGGATTTTTTTTTTGGTTTCTAGATGCTCTGTGGTGCGATCTGAGGTAATTTCTGACCACTTTAACCATTTTTTTAAAGGAAAAGATGGTGGTGTACTGTAGAACCTGCCTTTATTGCGATGACACTGAAAAAAAAAATATGGGTTCCTTTTTTTTGGGGGGGGGGGGGGCATGGCCCCCGTTGCCCTCCCCCAAATTTTTCTCGTGTTGTTTTTGTGTTTTGTTTTGTTTTTGTAAAGGGAAAGGGCGTAATCATACATGTCGCCACTAGGCCTACATGTTAAGTTAAACGGAATGGCGATTGGGCGCCACCATGAATTTTAGTTGTCCTCAGACTTGTACATGTACTTGTGTTTTCTTAAAAAGAAGTGGTTTTCTAAATGAGAAAATAGCAAGGAAGAACCGGTTTTGTGCAAGCAAAATTCAGGGAATAATCCGTTGAAGTAAATATCTTGTGGGAAAATTCCAAAATCATTCAAAGAAAGTAATTACCGCCGTGAATCAGAGTTTATGAAGGGACGGAAAGTGGGATTTGCCATCAACAAGACCATTCGTCATTCTTTACCTGATGGGATGTGAATCAATTGGAGGATGAGAGACTCTGCGAGCTGATGTACTTTTTAGAAAAAAAATACTTAACAAATACGCTCGGCAGTTCAATCATGTACATACACTGGTATCCATACCAGTGAATTAAGTCTTAAATAAACGGAAATCTTCCCTACAAGCTGGTTGCAAAAAAAAAATGTTTTTCTAAAAAATACATCAGCCCGCAGAGCCTCTCGTCCTCCAATTTGATTCACATCCCTTAAAAGGTACATAATGAGGAACGGCCCTGTTGATGCTGATAGCAAATCCCACTTTCCGTCCCTTCATTATAAACTCTGATTCACGGCAGCAACTTTCTTGAAATGATTTTGGAATTTTCCAACAAGATATTAGTATCAACGGATTATTCCCTGAATTTTGCTTGCACAATACCGGTTCTTCCTTGCTATTTTCTCATCTAGAAAACCACTTCTTTTTAAGAAAACACAAGTACAAGTATGAGGACAACTAAAATTCATTGATAAATTCCATTTAACTTCACATGTAGTGCAAGTAAACACAATCAAGGATCAAGCTAAAGAGCACAAATCTAGAAAGGGAGTCAAGCTACAGTTTTGATGTGATGCTTGTGATGTAATTGATCATCTTTGATGACCCACCCACGAAAACATGAATACATTTAATTCAAAAAGTCAGGGGAAAGTGGCCAGGAAATGCCTCAGATTGCACTACAGAGCATCTAGATCCAAAAAAAGTTTTGCGATGAGCAAATGTCCAAAACTTTTCACTACGATAGGCTAAATTTTGACGAATTAATTTTGACGATTTATGTAAAGTTCATCAAGTGACATATACTGGTTAAACTTGCAGATATGCAGCGCTCCAAAATGTGTCTTATACAAATTACGAAGAATAAAATTTCCTGTATACATGCATAGTGTTGGGGGGGGGAGTGGCTTTTGGTTACATTTGGGAGGGATTGGGTCAAATCCTGGATCTGCCTCTGCAGGCCTGCCAATGCTTTAACGCCGACATGGGATTTCTCACGCAAAAAAATATATATATATAAAAAGATAATTGACTCCAAACTTGAAAATGATGTATAAATGATGATAGCTCAAAAAAAGGTTAAAGTGGTCAGAAATTGCCTCAGATCGCACCACAGAGCGTCTGGAATCCAAACATTTTCGGGCCCCTTAAGCGGGCCCCCAACCCCACGCCGTTAGGGCTTCGCGCTGCGCGCTCGCATCAACTGAGCTCCCTGCCCTGAGATGAGCCTGACCAATAAATTTTAGCTTCCTACGGGCCTGAATACTGGGACAGTTTATCAGGGGTATATGGAAGGGAAGGGGAAAACCTAATAAAAAATGCTGGATTTACTGTTTCATGCACTATTGGTTGCGGTTGCAGTACCAAAGCTGTGATGCGAGTGGTAAACCTTATATTAGTGCATGAAACAGTCATCGGGTGTTACGCTTCCGCGTGACGTCATGCGCCAACAGCCAGCGCAGCCGGCAAAAACGAGTAGTTGACAGCGATCGCTCTCTGTGCCTGTTAATCGACCGCCATTCATTGTACACAATTTTTTTTGTGCACAAACCAATTGCGGTCCTGGCCAATCCAGCAAGGTTGTCAAGTTAGGGGTTATTCCTCCTGTTTTCACTGCAATTGTAGGCTGAATCTTCATCGTGGATCGTTTTTTACTTCAAGGACCTGTGTAATGGTTATCCCAGGCAAGTTTGGGGTGAGTTGCAGTTGCAATTAGTGTGTAACGGGGACAAAATTGAACATTTTCCAAAAAATTTTGAATATACTACAAGTTACGAGAAAAATACGCTCCAGCCCTAGATGACAACCCAATGATAAAACTCAGGGCTGGGTAACTCCAGCTACTATACTACAAGTTAGGAGAAAAATTCGCTCCAGCCCTAATAGACAACCCAATGATAAAACTCAGGGCTGGGCAACTCCAGCTAGCCATGCCACACGCTCACAATTAGTGCACATTTTTTTTCCACAGCAGGTTTTTTCATCATCATGGGATTCATGTACTTTTACCACGACACTAGGGGCGCTGTTCATGATATAGATGTAAATCATTCCCCATCCCCCCCCCCCCCCCCCCCCCCCCAGTCCTGCAAACCCTCATATTTATTTCTAATACTAGGCCTAATTATTAACCCTGCCCCAACTCCCTAGGGGGTGTGCAAAATCACATTGAAATTGAAGGATTCAGGACTGTAAGAATCACAATTGACAGAAAAAAATTATTGTCCCAAAAGCAACGTCTTCGAAATTAAAGACTGCATGAAGTTGGAAAGTTACAAGGCAACACATGCTTCAAGAAAACTTTAAAAAGTTCCGCGGCAGGTATACACAGCGCCCTCTTGTGAACAAGTTTGACAACATTTTGCAAACTCTGCAGATTTCTCCACATTTGCTGACACTGAATTTTCACGAAATACACCCTCCTAACACACTGAAAACATTTCTTTAAACTCACCAACACATTGGAAAACTTGTGCATGACCGAAGAAAAGTGTTTGCTGTGTCCTCTAGTATGTTTTTCCCGGTAATTCTTAGCACTTCCGACAGCGTGCAAAAACAAATGGTGCACAAAAAGTCGAAATGTGGGTACATGGTACCTTGACGTATCAGTGTAAATAGGATCACCATTTTGACAGGAACCAATCTAACATGAATGCGCTCATTGCTAGTAGAGAGCTCTGCGAGCTGCCATCTGCTGGGCTAGCTTACGCATTTTAATGTACGGCATATTAATTTTTATCGGCCCAAAATTCACCCGCAAAGAGATTCTATCTATTTCCATGATTTCTGACTCTATTGTAGCTTGAGTAACTCCAACTGACAATGTTCCATATTCATTCACATGATGTAGCAAATGGAACATGTCAGCTGGAGTTAGCTGACAATGTTCCATATTCATTCACATGATGTATCATGTAGCAAATGAATATGGAACATGTCAGCTGGAGTTACTCAAGCTAACTCTATTGTTGAATTCTTTTCGGAACTGTTCAAACAGTTTCTTTTTCGAACATTCAGTGGAAAAGGAGACAAACGGGGAAGAAGAAACTATAATAAGTAAGTAGGCTAAACTAAGTTGACCTTCTTATTTTGTTTGCAGGTCAACTTGCCCCCTGGCCGACTCGCCCCCTGACCGACTCGCCCCCTGACCGACTCGCCCCCTGACCGACTCGACAAGCTCGCAGGTACCGGTGGATGCCGGCGCGCAGCAGGTATACCTGCGTTTACCGTTTGTCAATGACATAACTTGTAAATCTCGACTCTGGGTCCTCAGTTTCATAAAAAAAAATATTTTAAGAATAAATGATGTCATGGATGTATATTTAAAAAAAGGCAGTGTATATTTTGCCGGAGACGGCAAACCTTTAGTAAACGTTAGTTTGCCGGATATGCACTGAACATGCGCAGTTACTGTTTTTTTGTACTTAAACAATTTCCGGTGACAAGTTTTAGTCTGGCTCCATGCCAAAATTATCGTTGTTACCTCGTATTCACAAGATGGGATTCAGACCATTTTGTAATTTCGGACTTTACTTCCCTTTTAAAAAAAATCCTCCTGAGCCACAAATCTGAAAAAGAAAATGTAATACTCTGCAAAAAATGTTTGAGACATGTTAAAATAATAAAAGAAGAATATTCATATTTATTTGGGGATAAGAAAAAAAACTTTAAAATGTGGTGCGGTCGGAATCGAACGCGAGTCATCCCGCTTACTAGAGCCTTTGCTTAACCATTACACCAAACGTGCTACACAACTGTTGGTGGGAATTTAATACATCTTATAATTCAGCCCTATTTTAAAGAGTACAGCGCCCTCTGTTGCTATGGATTGCCGCCGGCAAACCTTTAGTAATCGTTGGTTTGCCGTCATTACCTCCGGCAAAATTTATCCACTATCTTAAAAAAATTAGCCTACAATTGCTGTGAAAAAAAAGAGGCATAACCGACAGCCGTGCGGCCATGATGATGCCCGGAGCTAGATTTGAGCACAAACAAACTGCAAAGCGCTGTCGATTACCATGCACACACAGCGAATCACCAGTCACACTTGCCAACTGCACTGCGCGGTGCGGCATGGCGCTGAAGCGCTCACCCGACGACTGTTTGATGCACTACTGCTGCACTAACTATGAGGCTTCACTCGCATCCGGTAGAGGTAGAACGGCAGCCGGAGTTGGCCGACAAACAGTCGTCGGGTGATATTTGCGACGAATTTCTTTAAAGCTGTGAAAAGAGGGGGGCTTTGAGTGTTCTGTTTTTGGGGACACTCAGTATCAGAGAGAGTGGCAAACAGAGTTTGGTGAGAATTCACCTGTTTTTCAGTAATAATTTCATATTCTGGTTTTTTTTTAGAGTGTGTTAATAGGTCTAGTTCAAATGACGTCATTTCCTACAGACCATCCACGTGCATCAGCATTTTGAGCGTGAACTTGCATAACGCACATCGGCTGCGTTGTATAACTTGTTTATAGATGCATCAGAATACACATCAGAATACAACACAGTATGAAATGACAATTTTGTATTCATTTTACCTTTAAAGTTCTGCAGTAATGCCGAAAGTTTCAAACAAGTCCACCAAGCTTGTTGCAAGCAAGCGCATCACTGACTTCATGGGCCCAAAAGCAACAGAGACATTAGACATGTCAGATGCATCTGGCTCATCAATTAGCCATGAGAAATCTTCACTTCAGATGGTTTGTGATGGACAAGGACCAAAATCTCATGCAATACAGAAGAATCTAAAAACTGTCTTCAAATTCAAGAACTTCAAGAGCTCTTTGCAACAGCGAGCCGTGGAAACAGTCACTACAGGTGTGTAGTTGATTCTTTGACTCCTTGGCTTGTCATTTGCGTCCAGAATGAATTCTTAACTTTATTTCTAAAGGTTCTAAAAGTTTAAAGGTTTGGAGACATGAGCTAAATTAACTTAACTTTGCTCTGCTTGTTGTCTATTGGCAAGTAGAAAGCAACTGACAGTGTACTGAGGTTCTGAAGGGTACTTTTCTGACATCAGAAAAAAAGATTGAATGTTTCGTCACGGTGGCTCAAAAGTGGCCATCTACTTTTCTGCCAGCAGAAAAGCAGATTGAACATTATTGTACACTTGTCAATCATCCCAAAAAAATGTCCACATACAATGTACATGTAACCCTTGCCTCATTGTGTACATGTACATGTATCTAAATCATCATCCAATCAACAGGCATTTTTATAACGGCAACAGATGATTCAGGTGACTAATAATAATTGTTTGCCAATTTTTATAGCTGTTTCGGGATTTCAATTTTTTTCATATTAATGCAATTAATTGTTCCTTCTTTTCATTTGGCGTTTTAACCCTTACTCTCTGAGGGTAGTTTACTGCATGTCAGTTGGTTATGCCAATGCCCTCCAGCTGCAGTTTATTGGAGGATACTTTGATGTAGCAGTGAAGGCTCCAATTGGCAGGAGTTGGAGGCCCTGGAGGGTGCCTGATACTGACCAGCTGGGGGCACTTGATTGTTATCAGAGGAATCTCTCATTGTTCTCTGTGGCATGTATTGGAGTGCCTGTCCAGTTACCCTTGAAATGACATGGCAGATATTGGAGGGCCATGCAAAAAACATAGGAGAGTTTCTTGAGGCACATATTGGCATGCGTTGGAGGGTCTAGTAGGGTAAGGGTTAATACGACGGCTGCCGTCTTGAATCTTCGCCCAGCTGCACTCCACACGCACTTGGGTTTTCGTAATCGGCAACCGGAGAACACTGTTCGTGGGTCACTCTAGAGCAGGGTTCGAATACACCCCAGATGTCCACTTTTGAACATCCGTAACAGTACATTTACATCACACACTTGAGAAATTTAATATCAACTTTAACCCTAACTCCCTACTGAGTTATTAAGAACAATACCAAATCCGCCAAAATCCATCACTCACTCCGCTTCACAGAATGTTTCATGACCAATATCCACCCAAATGGGGGGGGGGGGAGAGATAGATTTTGATGGATTTGGGAAGGTAAGGGTTAATAAATCATACTTCACATATTAATTGAAAGAAATATCTTTAATTTGTGTCTATTGTGTTTTCCACAGGAAAGAGAGATGTATTTATTTCCATGCCAACTGGTTCGGGTAAATCCTTGTGCTACCAGCTTCCAGCAATAGTGAGGTCAGGAATCACCCTTGTGGTTTCTCCACTTCTGGCTCTGATCCAAGATCAACTAGAGCATTTAGATCGCATGAAGATACCAGCACAGACATTGAACTCTCAGATTCAAGGCGAGAAAAGACTAGCAATCTTAGCTGATATTTCTAGCAAGAAGCCTACCACCAAGTTACTCTACATCACCCCAGAGCTTGCTGCAACTAACAACTTCCAATCTATCTGTCATTCCATAGCATCTCGCAATCTCCTGTCACTCATAGTCATTGATGAAGCTCACTGTGTATCTCAATGGGGACATGACTTCAGACCAGACTACTTAAAGCTAGGAAATCTACGTGTCAAGTTTCCTCAAGTCCCTTGTGTTGCACTGACTGCCACAGCAACACCACATGTGCAGAAGGATATTCTTGACAGTTTGAAACTTAAGGAACCAACTGTTATCTTCAAAGCCAGCTGCTTCCGAGAGAATCTCTTCTATGAGGTTGTGTTCAAAGATCTTTTGGAGGATCCTGTACAGGATTTGAAGAACTTTGCCACCAAGGTTCTACAGAAAGATGAGGAAGAAGGGGTACTTTTATTTTAATCATCATCTATTCCGTGGTTTGTTTTCAATTGATGTACCATGACTTGTGTGTTTTGTTCATCAGCCATGATGTTTTTCATTCTGTATTTTGCTGTCACTCATGTTGAGTACCGAAGTGTGACGTCATTTAGAACAGGAAAGTGTAGTGCAAACGAATGGAGTACGCGCGCGTGTTGGTTCACGGGCTGAATCACGCGCTAATGTCTTTCACACACATTTTGTGCGTGTGACGTATTCACTTCGGTACTCCATACATGTATTCTGTTTTACTGCAATTATAAAAACAGCCCGCTCCACAACTTTCCATAATGCATGTAGTGGGAATTGCTGATCTGTTTGCAATGATGATTTTTCTTCTATCAATCAATTTCCTTGTTGCATTTTTAACACACTACTGATATTGTTTTTGGACTACTTCAGGATATGAATGGTTGTGGCATCGTTTACTGCCGCACACGAGAGGCCTGTACCACTGTGGCTAATCGTCTGACTCGTCTTGGCTTACCATCTCAGGCATACCACGCTGGCTTGAAAAGTTCCCATCGTTTACAAGTACAGAATGATTGGGTTGATGGAAGGGTGCCAGTTATAGTTGCTACCGTTAGTTTTGGAATGGGTGTGGACAAAGCAACAGTCAGGTAATGGAGTGTCTCAATATTTAGACAATTTCTGCTCATTTCAGATGTTCCATTTCGAACAGATGACATTCCCAGTAGGAATGAGTAATTCCAACATGGTCTCAAATAGAATGCTTTGTTTCTGATACTATTAAAGGTTCCCTTGACAGAGATAACATTTAGTTTTATTTCATGAGAGAGAAAACAGCTTTAAGTTCTAGTGTGATTAATTTATTAATATACATATTCCATATGAACCTCTGCAGGTTTGTTGCTCATTTCAACATTGCCAAGTCTATGGCGGGATATTATCAAGAGTCTGGCCGTGCTGGAAGGGATGGCAGACCAGCAAGTTGTCGTCTGTACTATTCCAGAGATGAAAGGAATCAAGTGGCTTATCTTATCACTCAAGAAATGGCTAAAGCTAAGTCTAAAGAGCAGCAGAGATCTGTAAGTAGGCAACTGATGTTCTGTCCACAGTCTGACTTGTATGACTTTTAGGTGACAATTAAGAGGGTGTGTAAACTAGCAAGAAATATGTCACATACTTCAGAATCTGTCGCTTAGCATCACTTTGAATGAGGGTACAATTTTATGGAGATTTAAAATGGACAGTTTTCAGTAACACTTATGAGCAAAGCCAGACATGAGGTCAAGTTGGAGAATATTGAAGACATTGATGGCCATATACATGTTTATATTTTACTCATTTTCAAGCAGGAAGCATCCAAAGGAAAACAGACTAATAAACACGGCAAGGCCAGCATACAGAGCTTTGAGTGTCTTGTCAAGTTCTGTGAAGAAGAAAAGTAAGTTATGAGATCTCTTCATGGCACTGTTTGCCGCATAATTCTGCACTTATGATCACCCATACACTACTTTAGTTGTCTACCACATTTTGGTTTGGTAGTTATGAATTCCATTGCCATGTTCAATGTTGTTTCCTTTGTATACTTTGACAGGTGTCGCCACTCTGTGATTGCCAATTTCTTTGACGATAGACCACCAAATTGCAACAATTCCTGTGATGTGTGTAAATCACCAGCTGAAGTCCGTAAACAACTGGAGTATTTGAAGCGAGGTGTCATGGCTAACTCCAAGAAGAAGACTGATAGGTCTGGACGCACCTGTATCATGGAGGATACTAAAGGCAAAGCCGATAGGGATCTGTATGGAGAAGGCCGTTATGGAGCTGACAGGTGGGTAGGAGGATGACATTCTTAGTTTGTGTTTAATAGGTTCACTTGATTATAAATTGTCTATCACTTAGTTGTATTGATGCTGTACATATTGTAAGCCCTATTTTGTAAGAAATGCAGTGATTTGCATCAGGGTTTGAGATTTGCCATGGTTAAAGATGTCCAAGTAATAACAAATCTGCTGACAGTGGTCACAACGTTTGTTGCCCATTGCGAACATGGAATCCTTTTCATGACATGTAGTCCTTTATTGAATGGTCTCAAAATATTACACAGATCTATGTTACTTTTTGTGCTTGATTTAGCTTCTACAATGGCAAATACAAGGCAAAAGATGACGGTAGCAGTAGTGAAGATGATGATGATATGGCAGCAGCAAAGGAACGTACTAACATGATCAGGGCAGAGTTTGAAAGGAGAAAGAAGGTGTGTAGTGCAGAAATGTCATGAGCTAAGTCAGACACTGCAGCTTATGTTTGGCATATTTTAAGTGTTAATATTTGGGTTCTTATTTAGTTTTGGCAAGCATACGTATTCGCTGGGCATAGGAAAGATTTGTCAAGTTTTTATTTGTGATGAATCAGATTTGTCTGCACAATATTTGTACCCTGCCCCTCTTGTGTCCTTCATCGTTCTGTCGATAATCTCAACCATCAAACAACCCCCGGCAGATTTTAGTGGTGAATTCTACTCACAGTTTATGTACAAAATTATAAGACAATTTGCCAAGTGTGACCATTTTCAATTATCGCAAGTGAACTCCGCACATGAAAGGCGTGTATGAAATTGTATATTTTCATCATTCTTTCGTGCATTTTATTTTTCTACTTTTTTTTGTAGAACCAAATCAGGACATCTAAAGTTGATTTCATCATGCCTGGTAAGATTTTCATATTTTGTCTAGCTAGAAAATTTTGTTGATTCATACGCTTTCCATATATTTTCAACTTATGTCATATTCTGTACAGAGGTCACTTCAAAAATCCTAAATCCAGCAAATCCTAGACTTGGTTTGCAGTAGTAGAGTGGATTTAGGAGTATATGATTCTTGACTTGTTTCTTTAAGAATATCCCATTTAAGCTGTGTTTGATTGACTTCAGCACATTCAGATGGACTTCTGACAAAAGTGTCCTCTGACAAAACTGCCCAGAGAGCTTGGTTTAAAATGCTGACATTAATTTGAACTGTGTATCTATTTCTGGGTTGTTTTTGTTTTAGATGAGGATTGCCCATTGAGAGATGCACCCAACTCCAAGATCCCAGGCCTAACAATCAAGGTAAAATCATTTCACCTTATGTTTGCATCATTTGACTACCTTGAGTAGAACCAGACTGGGACCTTAAGTGCTCAAAATTATGCTAAAGAAGATCAGGCCAACTTTACTCACTCTTAACCAGCAAATTTCTCAAAATAATGTTACTTGGCAAAAGAAAAATTCCTCAATGTTTCACCAACCAAGTTTGAAGACTCAATTCAATTTTTAAAGGAGACTTTTCTTCAATATTTAGCAGTGGCTTGCACAAGAGAGGGAAGTCAAGTGAATTCAAAATGAGGCTAAAGACTAGACTTCTACATGTCCATCCATGGTCCAACTATTTGACACGACTAATTTCTTCATTCGTTGTCATTAGTTTGGTGCCTGACTAAAGAGAAATGTGTAGAAATAGTGACCTAGTACCCAACATCATAGATATTTCTTTTGGCACAGTCAGCTGACAGTAGGTTGATGCGGTAGTGAAGAGTTGTTGGACTGGATGTTTCATGTGGCAGTCTATTGTCTTGTATTGTATGTTTTCAGTTTCTTAAGTTTTGGGACTCTCATACACAGTATGGTGAGTCCCAAATTTTCAGACGAGATCAGAACATGTATCAACAGGTTATTCTACTTTTATAGAGTAAGACTGGTTCATTATTTTTGTATTTGTATTTGGAGTGAAGCAACGCACAATACATGTAAATTCAAATGAAAGTGTAATACCAACAGTTTCATAATATTTTTGATTAATTGTTTTTCTGATGTATTATGATCCAATATCAGCAGGTTTTAAACCTCAAATATAAAATTATCTGATGAATTCTTTAAATCTTCCATGTACATGTAATAATAATTCTAATAATTACTAATTTATTCAGTCCAGAGTGCACTGTCTACAGTTGATAGAGAAAGCTCTTCAAGACAACTTTGAGCAGTACTTTAAGAACAACTCTAGTAGACTACCAGCCAGGTGAGAGTAACTAGTTTTGTAACTCTAATGAATAAAAAAAGTGGATTGTTTTCTCTTATAGGAGCAGGGATCGTGAATACACAATCCACTAATAACCCCATTCCTACAATGAAGTTATGAACAGTGCTGGAAAGTATCAGCTCATTATACTTATTGAATACTTGATTTATAATTTAGAATGTATGTATGCCCCCAGTTACACCACTGCTTCTAGTTGTATGTAATATTCAATAAATAAGTTCCAAGTACATGTACATGTATCTATTGCAGAGGCATCTTTTTATTGATCCCTTTCTGGTCTAAACAGTCCATCATACTGTGCCATTCATGAGGATATGATATTTATATCTTGTATATTTTTCCAACAGTGAATGGGAGTCTCATGGTCAAGCCATAGATTCTGAGTATGAGATATTCAAGATCTGTAGACAGAGCAATATGTATAAAGCCAAGGTTCTCAGCCTGGTAAGACTTCACTTCTTCTCTTTTGCAACATCAGTTTACAAAGCAGGATTAGCAAGTTCGTCACAGAGCTGACAAGTCGGCTAATCAACCTTTTTTGTGATTTTGTTATTTTTGTGGTTTTTAAAGGTTGCACTTTCACATATTTTTGCCAATTTTTTTTTGTAATTATTGTCTATTTTTTTGGAGATCCGTTGCCCCCGCATGATCAAATATATTGCAAGCTACCGGCAGAAAACATAATTAATAATTTTTGTCCCTAATAGTTAAATGAAGGCTGGGGCGAAGGTTAAGTGTGAGTCTACGGTGTTATGAATCTTAGATACTGCCCTCCATGCGAGATTAGCATCATTTCAAGAGTGAAATATTGTTTAACAAAATTGAATTGAAATTACTGAAATAAAAATTTTAGTTGGTTGCATATTAACATGTAGCTTGAGGTCGAGTGAAAATTAATTCTGTCAAACTAATTCCAGAACAAACTGATCAAAGGAAATTCCTTATCAAATGGAAACTGAATTTATCATCAATCTCAAAAAAGAATGTTTTTAAACTGTCCCTTGTGTGAACTACATATAATCGGGTTTCTAGACTGTTTCAAAGTTCTTGGAGTTTGGAGTGCACCCCAATACCTCAAGAAATACTAAAAACATTGTTTTTCATCATGACTTGGGTTTAAGTCCATTTAGGGTTTTTGAACTGTTTTAGGTAAGCAGTATCAAGAAGGCAACCAAGGATGCTGACATTCATAAGATATTCCTTGAAGGAAACAAAGAAGAGAAGGAAGCAGACACTGATGAAGACCAAGATAAGCAGGTAAGGACTTCCCTCTATTTGGGTCTTTACTTCATTAACATTTTGCATTTCTTCACTCATAGCTTCTGGATGACAGGCCTGGATTAAACTTTAAGTTTGTTGGCTTTTGGCTAATTTAGGATATTGATAACTAGCAAAGCTTATGATACCTGATGGACTTCTTGCACATGGACCACCACCCAATTAGCAGTGGGAATATGAAACATCGCTGTAAGTGTTTGCCACTTACTTGATTTACAATGAAACTAAGTTTCAACTGATGGCGTATGCAATCTAGCAAGGTCATTACCCAATCTTTCAATATGTAGAGTATATTGCAGTTGGATCTAGCAAATTCCACTAGTAGAAAGAACTATGCTAATATTTAGTTTTTAACCAGAAAAGTGATATTTATAATATATTATTTCAGGAAGTTATTCCGACTGTCGCCAACCTCTCCAATACTTCAACATCCAGCAACAAACCATTTGTTGGTTTTCAGACTGTCTCCTCACTTCTTGCCAAGCAAAGTAAGTCTGAAAACCAACGTACAGTCAAACTCTGTCAAGGTGAATCCCTCGACATGGAACCAGACCAGGCAGTTGATAAAGATGCATCTTCATCAACACACAACAAAAACTCAAGCCAGTCTGGTGCTACTATCAAGTCTGGTTTCCAGACTGTCTCCTCACTTGTATCCCAAGGGATGTGGACAGGCAGCAAGTCAAAACCTAAAATGAAAGGTCAGAAGAATGCAAGAAAGAATGAAAGCAACTCTGTGGATTCCAGTTTAAGACGTATCAAAAAGCCTGTGAGAACAGAGACATCATTTGATTCATTGTGTGCGGAATCAGTTGCTAAATCGTCACGCAGCAATATTAAAGGCAATGACGTAGAACCTGTACATGACAAACAGAAAAATGAAGTATATGATGCTATAAATGCTAATAGTGGTGGCATAAAGGATTCATTCACAAACTCTGAGCAGTTCAGCAGCATTTCTGGCACCTGTTCAAGAGATGTTAAGATGAACCAAGCAGAGACACCTGATGCAACCACCAAAGTTTGTGTAGAGGATGAGGCAAGTGTGTTATCTTATCCAGTGTATGTCTCGGGTGAATGCATCCAAGATGCTGAACCTTGTAGGAGAAGTTCAAGTACAACAGCAGAATGTGTTGCCGATTGTAGAGGCAGAGGATGTTCATATTCTTCCATGGAAACACCAGATGAGGAATCTTTGGCATTGTCTGTAATAAGGTAAGGCTTAAATACAATTTATGCTTTTCTCAAGGAACTGATTAAGTGTGAAAATGTAGTTGTCTGTGATCAGAAATTTAATTTGATGTGTTGGGGGGGGGTGTTAATAATTCCTGCAGCTCCCTTTCAGCATATGAACTTGTCTTCAGAATGTACAATCAATTTGGTTTATTTTCTTCTTGGTATTAACAGCATTGATGGTGATTGCAGTGACTTGAAGTCATCAAGCAGGAAGAGAATCAATGACTCTTCACTCATGGTTGGTACAGATGCATGTTTTAATCACTTTGCATGGGGTTTGCCATTTCATTGAACAGCGGCCTCTATAATTATGAAAATGTCCTGTTCAAACTGCATTCTTTTTATTTAAGTAAGTATTAAATGAAACAGGCAGAAATGTGTTTTGTGAACATTAAGCAGATGACATCCTAAATGAAGTAGACAGGAATGTATCATTTTCAAAACCCTATTTTTATTTTCTGTACAGCACCCCTACTCTTCCAAGAGGTCCAAACTGTCAAGCCAAGATCACACAAACACTCTTGAGAACAACTCAGGTAGCATCAGCGCAGATGATGACAAACCGAGGAGATTTGTGACCTTCGACCCAAGTACAGTGGACAATGAGAGGTCAACAGAGGTTAAGCCGGGGTCAACCGTTAAAGATATCCGACGGTTGGCTGCAGATGTGGTGGTCAAGTTGTTGACCCCATATTACAAGGACAACAAGTTTGCCTCAAAGGTTGGTAATTCACGTCTCCACATTAATTTAATTGTCGTCAATGAATATTGATTTGTGAATCATTTCAGCTTTCCCTTAGTTGTCAACATTGCCGCTCTACTGTATTTGATAATTGTATTTTTCACTAGGAAAGATTACTTTTAAAGCTGTAGTCCATCATTTGTAATTAGTGCATTTTGTTCGTTTGAAGCAACAAAAGTGTTCAAAATCTAATGAAGGATACTGTGAACAACTTACTTGATGAAGTTTCAACTCAGCTTCAGCTTCATATTCCGAGAAAAACAACATTCTAGGATCTCAATTTCAAATCAAAAGTTGCTAAATCATGTTTCGAATTGTTTTGAATTGCAGCTTTACGCGATGTTGCGCACTGATCCAACGAATTATAGCAACCGCGCACGCCTGTGCGTCGTTCCAATGCTTGTGCGCGCTGCGCCGAATAAAAAATGAATAACTAATTTAAATTTTCCTACGGTGCTTCTTAAGAAGTACCATTGGAAATGCCTTCTTTCGTTGATTTCTTCGAAATGAGAGCTTGCCAGAAAGGATAATTTCACAGGGAGTTTAGTCCCCTCACTATCTTTCAACCAGTATGTTTTTCAACAATAATTACGCCGGTTACTTTTTTGGATAGCTGCAAATGATGGACTCGGGCTTTAAGCATGTGTTTGTTATAATAGATAATTTATGAATGTCTCATACATAATTCATTGTGCCTCTCATTTAGGACTTGTTTAAGATGCTTGCTAAACGACTTGCCCATCAGATAACACTGGACGGTGCACTTACCAAACGGCCATGTAAGTCAATTTCTTCTTTTTAGTCAGTAAATTTAAATTTGAATTACTCATCCATAATGCGGCCAAAAAGTACTCGTATCAACAATTCTTGAACGGCAGTTTCAGGTCACTGGAAGAAATATTAACAAGTGGTTCATATTTTGCAAAATTATATTTGAGCTGCTATATACAGGGTGTCTAAAAAAGAAATATCAAACTGCCTCTTTCACACGGCTTTAAAAAACACTTCACAAATATTGAATCATAATGTGAAGTGTATAGTTAATTAGCTTTTCCCCAATGAAAAAATCTTGCCAATTGGGTAAACATTTATTGAGTTATGGCCAATTCAAAATAAGTGTCGATTTTTAAATCTTTTCACAGTCTCAATTGTCATTTGTTAGGAATGTAATATATTTTGGGTGAGGTTGAGTGTAGATTTGGTTTATTTGGTGTTTTAATCTTTCTTTCTTTATTTGGCTTTTTATAAAGTTTTTATTGTTCGCAACAATTGTCATTTATGCTTTTGGAAGTAATGGTAGTCCATACAAGGACTGTTTGGTTTACTTCTTAGATGTATACTGTTCTGCTCTTTCTCTGCCCTCTACTTGTTAGCCTTTTTCACAAATGCAAGTTTCGGCCCATGTTCTTATTGGGGCAATCAAAATATCAGTCGCCATATTCAATTGGCCGAAACTAAATACAAAAAGTATATATTTTCCTGATAAAGATTTTTCCGGTGTTGAAAAGCTAACATGTATATCGATATTTATGATGAATTCTTGTAAAAGCTGTGAAAAAAGGGGTTTTAAGGTTTTTTTCCGCGATAGCCTTGAAAAAAATTTTTGCGACCCGAGCTATTCTGACTTTTTAGCCTCGTACCTCGATGGCCGAGATCTTAGGGGAGGGGATGGAACCCCCTCCCCTTCCCCTAGCTGTGAAATGGTTGAAATAACACGCCCCTGTTAGGGTCAAAGACACCCTGTATATTTCATCCAAAATTGTTGCATTTGTTTTCTTTGTATGCAAAACAGAATTGTCTTCATTGTATTGTTATTGACTTGACTAGATGTCTTGGAATTGAGAAAATCATACGGTTTCAGCACTTGTAAATTGTATTCTGAGGATCGTCTTCAATAATTTGAATATTTATGTCAACTACGGTAATAATACTTTTCAAATACATTCTGCATATCTTCTTTTGGTTTCTCCTAAAATATTTGTGCACAGTGAAGGATAAAGCAAAGAAACTTGTCAAGGAATACTTCAAGCAGCATGCGATGTGTCAACAAGAGAGTGACCTTCCCTCCATCCCTCTTCATGCATGACTGCAATGAATCTAGTGTTTACAATGTCTGACCATCCTCAGTCTGTCAACATCCACACTGACGCCTTCTGCAGTTTGAGTGGCTCCATGACTGCAGAGCCAAGTCACTTTTACTTCACATTATTTTGCACTTAGTGTCCCATTGTTGGAAAATACCCAGTGTGCATTGTTACAGATTTAGGCTGGTTCTTGAAATGTTGGAGTTATTTTAATATTCAAATTGTATTTATTCATATTTAAAGAAAGTAAAATTTGATGAACAGATTAACATGTTATTGCTGAGTATTATATGCTTCTCCTATCCTGATATTTTTCCTACATATACCACATTGCAATGGATTGTCCCTTTACATGCCATGTGCAAGTAAATATGCGCATTTAGGTATCTCTGAATCATGCTTGTGAAAAGAAAATCAAGGTGCATGCCATGCTTGAACAAAAAAGTGATTGTAGGTTTTGACTGTCAGCTGGGAACACCTGGGATGAAAGTGATTGAAACTCAGGTCAGCTTTATTTATGAATGTACATGTACCTCTATTTGGAAGAGACATCCAGAAATGCTACATCACTCAACAAGTTTTGTGTTCTTGCCAATTTATTTTATAACATAACGGTTTTCATGAGTGCACAGTGACAATTTAGAGTACCAAATGAAATTGAAATGTTTCAAAACAAATATATACCCATAGTTTCAGGACTGTTCAAAAAATTGATTTCTTGTCTCTGTCACCTTAATTTTCTAGCTATTAATAGTTTAAGGAAACTCTTAATGTTGTAATAAAAATAGTACAAGATTGATTTAAACTAAAATGCAGGTCAGTTTAAGCAGGTGTTCTTTAGGTGCACGTATAGGAAGGTGGAATGTAACAAAAATATGGATTGCATACAACTCAAGACTGCTAGGGATCTAAATGACCATGCCCCAGCAGTGTACTGACCTGGTGACTTTGTGGGTTCTGGCTGTGATTGTGAGTTCAAGAAAGAAAGAATAGTTGAATGAATGCCAATTAAAAAAAAAACACGTCTGCAATTACTTCCCATTTCTCCAAAATGAAAAAAAAAACACCTGTGTAGAATTGTGTATAATACTAATGGGAATACACTTTGTCTTTGGGGTATAAGGCAAGTTAATCCTGTTTGGGATGTACATGACTATTGTTTAAAACTACTTCTTTTAGATACATAAATTTACACAATTTGAAAGTGTCAAATAACTGAAAAACAGAAGTTAATACTTAAAGGGAATATACAGCATTTGCTTTTGCTGAATTTTCAGAAATGGGTGGATTTGGGGGTGAGTGTTTTATAGCAAATGTTGTAACACTGACTTGTTCGAAGTTTTGTGTTCGAAGATGCTGGAAAAACCAAGAAAAAGAAATGTGTTCCTGTAGTCTGGTTCCCTGACCTTACTCAAGAAGAAACAAAGCAATTTATTGGCCTCTGGGAATTGTAAGGTCAGGGAACCAGTCTAACTGGCTTGTAGCCGTTCAATCATAGGTGACTAACTAAATATGGTAAATTGGGGGCAGTGTTTGAAACAGGCAGTTTTTTTTACCAACGATGGTCGGCCGACCAGCGTTGGAAATTGATACAAAAATACCACTTTTCTTGAAATAATGACAACACACCAGGCGCCATGATTTTACAGGATGATTTAGGCTGTCATTCACTAACAGTCCATGTAAGGTATTTCATAATAATGTGTTTGATGTTTGCAAATGAGGCATATTCCCTTTAAATGTAAATTGTGCCTATGGTCATGGACGTCGCCAGGATTTTTTATAAGGGGGAGGGGGCAAAGCACATTTTTTCCCAAAAATCCTTTGACTTTCTCAAGCATAATATTCTCCATGTATTATTATTCAAGGATGGGCGGGGGACATTTGCCAGCCCGCCCATTTTGTTAAATGTCTATTAAATTAATGCCAAAAATGACTTCACACGTCTTTTTCTTTTACTTTTTTGTCCTCTTTGTTTTTGTCTGTTTGTTTGCTTTTCAGAAGGGGGGCAACCTCCTTGCCTTCGCGACACCCATGCCAATGGTGCCATGTTTACAACGAACTACGAAGTATTCTTTTAAACGAAACTAGTTTTACTAACAGTTTGCTGCCCAAAATATTCTTTCATAAATTATTGGGCGTGTGGACTCTTCTGTGAACTGCAAGGTCCGTTTAGGGTACTTATATACAGCGCTTAAAGTTGTAATTCTGTTTTACTAAAACGTTTAAATATTATTGAAACTCCTGATAGATATGGAGTCTCTAAAAAGACTCAATAAAATTTAACACATGTACATTTACACGTAATTTATTGACAAAATGAGGTTCGATTGAGGACTTCAATGGCGTCGCATAAATTGGCTTAAATTTGGCTTTGGCTTTTTGATCTTTTAACCTGATTCCTAAGGAAACATTGGCGGACCTCCCCCCCCCCCCCCCCCCCTCCGGACTCGGGGGGGGGGTATAATCCCCAATCCCAAATCCCAACAGAATGACGGGCCATTAGTCCAGTCAATTATGTTAAGAACTACAACAAATTACAATAGATACAAGCGTCAAGCAAGCAACTTCAAATAAAATACACAAACAACGTGTGAACAATCTAATTGTTTCTTTGTAGTGGAAAGGGATTTTCCTAGCATTTTTGTCAGATTAAAAGTGGCCTCGAATAATTCGTCTGGTGATGACTTGCTTCGATTTAGGCCTTCATGACTGTGTAAGGTTTAGGATTCATTACCACATGCGAGCGCAGCAGACAACAGTGTGTGGGAAACTTTAAAAAAAACAATTATGTGAATGTGTGTCGTGTTTTGTCTAAGGCCAAAAAAAAAAAGTCTCCGGTTTCTGGTATGGAGCTTGCCCAAAAAGTGGTGCGGCGACGCGGCTTTTTTTGTACCTGACTTGTTTGCTTCAAATGTCGGCTGATGACTGCAAATGGTGCCCGACTAAACTTAGTGCAAAATGTACGGGAGTCCAGAAAGTCCACATAAAGCTTATTCTCGATCATACCCCCATCTAAAAACACGTTAAAATTGTGCTGCAGCAGGATTCAGGTCAAACCAGTGAGTTTGGCGTTTTTGAGACATCATCTTTTATTGAAAAAAAAAAATTCATTTTGCCGACGCGCATGGCTACGGCGACGCACGCGCATACCAGAAACCGGAGACTTTTTTGGGGGGGGCCTAAAGTGCCAATGTTTATAATGCTTTCATTGACCCAAATTGTGTCCACAGAATCGAGGATTCACTCTCTATCTTCAACTTGTTATGAATCTTAACAGCGAAGAAAATGCATGTTAACATAATGAATCTAGTGGTAGATGATAAAGTATTGGGGGAAAACTGGGGAGTATCCACATTTGGGGGCGGAGAGGAAGGGGGAACCCCCCCCCCCCCCCCCCACCCGTAGCAAAAAACTGTGGAGCTCACCTGCCCTTTCCTTCCCATCCGTGTTTGCAGGGGCGGGGTCGGGGTACGAACAAAAAAGTGATGTGATTAGCACCCTCAACGACAGGAACTTGTCTACAATAAGTTTCAGTCTTGTACCCAGACACCATTTGCGTTAGATCTGTACGTTAATTCTCCTGACTACTTTACGTACGCGGACAATTTTAAAGCGGGGAAAATTGAACAAACCGCGCCGGGCGCCGGCACAGTGCACGTTTTTTGAGACACATTCCAGGAACCGGGCAGAAGTGGTGGTTGCTAAACATCGTAAAAATGGTGAGTATTGAACCAATTTGTCCTTATCTCTCAAACTCGTAAGTTTGGTGTTTGCAAACTTAGTGTGTAGGGCTATACCCTTGCCCAGGTGGACTCCCTTTCCTCCCTTCGACAGTTGTAGCGACGCTGGGATCTTTAGTCGTATGCAATGGACATGGGCGTCGCCAGGATTTTTTCTAGAGGGGGGCAAAAAAAGATTTTGCCCAAAAATGCTTGTATTTCTCAACTCATTCTCGATTTATCAGTTTTAGAGGGGGGGCAGGGACATTGTGCCCCCCCCCCCCCACTCATTAAATTTACACCACTTTGTCTTCGCGCCTCTTTTTCTTTTCTATTCTTTTTTCTTTTTTTTCTTCCCTTTTTTCTTTTTTCTTTTTTTTTTTTGCTTTTCCAGGGGGACAAATAGACTAATCAGTAATCATGCTAATTGCAATAGTAGCTTGACCAGTGGCCTTATATTTTTGTTTAAATAACTGAAGATTCCATATCATTTTAGAAACATCCAAGGAATTCCACAGCTTTAGACCATGCTTGACCGTATTTTGGGTAAGAGAGGTACAAGCAAAGAATTCACACACAACTCGTTAAAATTAACTACAGGGTAAGTCCCTGTTCCCTGTGGCACACACAAGACAGCAATAATTTTTCGACTTTGAAATAACCTTTACAAATTGTAGTCTGCGACCGATATGAGATATATGATATATGTTTTCAAGTTAGATCATTGTTATCTTGACTGTTTTTATTTGAAGAATAGGTTAGTTTTAATTTTTGTGCACTCGTGCTTCATTTCTGACATGAGTGGTAATTACTGTCTCCCTACACGTATTCCATGACCATTACTTCACAGAGTTGAAGTGGGTTAGCATTTTCCCCATAGTCAACATCTATGCTAACATAACGTGCCAAAGTTGGAGGATCACAGATCCTTTCAATCCATGCCCCGTCCAGGGCTTGATCCGCAGTGACTGCAGAGCCACATATCATGTTACGTGTAATGTTAAAGCTGATTCCCACACGTACAGCAGCCCCCTCCAAGCGATCTCCTGTTAAAACAATCAAAAGAAATTAAACGCAAAACGTAGCTATTACACGTCGGCATTTTAGGTTTTAAGACGGTTTTGAGACGGTTCAGGCATCTTAAGTAGCAGTGGCGTATCCAGAGAGGGGAGGGGGGGGGCAGAGAGGGCACTGGGCACCTTGCCCTCCCCCCGGCGGATTTTTGACAATCATTCTTTCAGCAATTGTTTCAATAAAAATGGTTAGAGAGTTCTGACATATATCCAAATGAAAAAACCAGCTCAAAACCATTACAATGCACCGTGAAAATGGGAGCTTAATTTGCATAATGGTCGGTTTGGAAGATAGTACACCTTTTTTGGTGATCCATGGACAGAACTTTAAAACGGTGGTTGTGTTTAAAATTCCGTAACTTGAAAACTACATGAGTGATTTGAATGAGTGCTACATGCGGAACTTCACAATAGTCCCGACATTTGGATTTCGGTTTTTTGACTCACCCTTATATTGAGTTATTGAATGTTATTGAACATGTAACTTACCGCAGCAGTCACCTCTATTGACAATAGTGACCCGTCCCAGCCAGTGTTTTCCTCCAAAGTCAACACGCCACCATGGATGCTTAGATGGCGCTTTAGGGTGTTAGAAAATGTTTACTCAATTTATAATTTATCATGAAATATTACTTGTCATTGCTTAGCTCATTGACACTTCCACCAAAGAATATTCGAGCGCGAGGAACCGTTCTCTCTGCAGGGGGCTTTGCTCGTCCTCGTCGCCGGTTCGGTTTCGTCTTTGGTTCCGGAACTTAATAATCGGAAGTCGCAATCTTGAAAGCCAGAGAGGTAGTTTTGTAATTCACTACCTTGTGGAAACGTGTATAACATATGTCTCCATAGAGCAATTTCTATAGGTGAATGCGACAGTTTACCACGAAATAGATATATGGATTTTACTCAAACACCAGTAATTTTCAATGTGTGACGATGTGTCGCAAATTGAAGTATTTTATGTATTAAAGGTATATTAAGTCCAAATTTTAGCCCAGGAAATTAATACATGTACTGGTTAAAATAGGAGCAGTTTGAACTCTAAATTTTAGAACACCGAGCACAAAGAAATGTCTCCACAACAAGGATACAAATTCCACTTTGTACTATGTTGGCGAAAGGGAAATGGAACAAAGCCGGACTTTCAGAAATGTCCTTGATGTATATATACACAAACTTAAGGCGCCATATGATGCATCGTGCGCGTTCGGTGATTTTTTTTATCGACGAGGGGAAACGTGTGCATGATTATAAGTCCATGTACTGATATTCTTAAATCTTTCTTACCTGTGTGTGAACAATAGGGACTTGTAGTCATTTGCGTATTTAAGTGTCCGTCATTCGCTCTTTCAGCGGTATATTTTGTCAAACCATAAGTTGAGCTCTGCTGACTTGCCATGCCAATCAGTGATAACTCTACAAATTGGGGGTAACGAAATACGGATTTTATCTTCACTAGATACTGTAACTATGAGACGCTCCGACAATATATCAAGTGGCATTTCTTTGTTGCCAGTCTATACATGTAAGATCTAAACAATCCAATGTTATGGCTCTGCATGCCCTTATTTTAAGGCGTCAGGGAAATGTGAGGTTTTTTGATCGTGCAAAGTGCACCAATGGATGAATACAAAATGTCAAAAAAATGCGAATTGTTTTAACAAATGGGTTTATGGCCTATTCGACTGTTGAGGTTTCTCCAAATCACACTAACAAATTAATTCGTTAGTGTAATTTTGAATGTAAGACTCTACAGATGAGCTTTTTCTCTATGGGGGCTCCATTGTGGAGTCTTACATTCTAATCTTGATTTGTAATGTTTTTGCAAGTGATTTTCCATGATATGTCAGAAAGCTTTTCTTAAAGAATTGGTTTTTGAATACGTTTGTGGCAAGTAAAATTCATATTCATTAATTGTTTGTACCTTGCTCAGTCCATACTTTGGTAGTTTCAGCCAGACTGGTAGTCAGTCCGTTGCTTGGTCCCACAGTGCAGTCAGTCTGTACAATTTGTAAAATGCAGTGTGCAGCATTGAACTTTGTTTTCCTTTCTGAATTCATGCATATAATGCTTGCATGCAGAAAATAATGGTGTAAAATTAAACCTTACTAAATAGGTCAAAGACTTTTGGGTTTTTAATCGCAGAAACTGGGCATCAGTGCGTATATTACGTCTCGACTTGGTTAGATGTTGCAAAAACAATATTTTAAGATGAAAGTTTGAAATGCAGGGGGGGGGGTGCGAAATAATTTTTTTTTTTTCGAAATTGGTTTCTATTTGAATTGGTCATTTCTCCATAACATGCTCCCGCACCAGTTCCCCTTTGAATACGCAGCGTGCAAACTCGATACGGATATTGCGAGATTGGTCCTTTCTTGTATGCCGTATATACTGTTTTGAAGGTGTTTTAGCGGATATAATTATTATAATACTTTATTTAGTGATGGTAGCCATGTCAAATCGGGGATTATTTTCAATTGGCCATCATTAAAAAAGCCACTGTACATGTATTTTAAAGTGGAGTGATTTGCCATATTTTATGTCATTTTGTGACATATAATATTGACATCTCATAAAACTTGGTTATTTGTACGAATTACTATATGAAAGGCTGAAAATGGCAGAACGAAACTGACTGCGATTCGCCGCCTACATGTTTTGTCTCACGTTTTGACCCAAGGTTTTCAACTTTTTTATGATGTTCGTTTGAAGTATGGCAGGCATGGGATTATAACTACTCACCTTTGACTCAGTGAAAGCATAGAAACTGCCAGACACCATCTTCAGCTCTTGATAGCTGTCCAAGTGCGATACATTGTTGAGAGCACACTTGCGTGTCTTCAAGAAGTAGTTAGTGGACTTGCAGTTGGGATGATCAAGACACAGCTTGAAGCAGAGTTTCTGCGTCTTCGCGATGGATCGATTGAAACTTGGAGTTGCTAAAGCATAGTCCACTAACCCACACATGTGGCTTGCTGGAGTAATACATGCATCATAAACATAAACATGTACACACAAGTACAATATTACTGAGGCTAATAACAAATGCAGTAGCATTGTGTCGTTTTTATCGATTGAACTTCCTATGCTGTTTACGAATACAAGTTTATCCCTCAGTCTGAAGAAAACTAGATCGCATCAATCGAAACGTCAAGTAAGCAAGCTATTCAATACATATCCACTTGTAACTAACAACAAAACAAATCACCCTAATCTATAAACCATGGATCGTCTTTATATTTCAGTGTTGCCATGGAAATGGCCATTTCCATAGCAACACCGAGGCGTGCACAATAGGCCTAGGCATATTTTTTTACATTCACAGCTGAAAGCGGAGGGGAAAAAACAAAACAAATATCAGGTTGCCATGGGAGTTGCTGACCTATAAGGCCAAAAAAAAAAAATAAGTCGGTCTCTGGTCAGCGCGCACGTCGATTTTAATCATGCGCGTCGATCTTTCTTTTTTTTCAAAATGTTCCGCGGTATCTCCAACAGCGCCCTCTATTTCCGCACCTCCTCAATTTGTTTTACCGAAGAGCACCAAGGAATGGGAAATTGCACCAAGGCAAATGATCGAAAGCACCAAGGCAAATTATGGAGGACACCAATGTAGATGAGGACACCAAAAAAGCAAAATAGTACCCCACCTTGTCTGTACAATCCAAGCTTGAAGAAGAAAAAAAAAGCCGCATCGCCGCGTCAATTCCGGAACTTTGGTCTGACCAGAGACCGATTTTTTTTGTTTGGCCTAACTGTAATAAAATGCTGCTCATTGAACCGTGACTGCAAATATTAATATTTTAATCCACAGCACCCATGCAACGTTCATGGCCGTTGCCGTTCTATTTTCCGATTATTGACGAAGCGTGCAATAGTGTCTTCTCATGCTTTTTTATCATCTATACAGGAACGGCGACTTTACGTGGAATGTAAGAGGCGCTGTCTCGCTTTGTCTAGACCGTAACTACGAATAATTTTGCTGGGAATATTTTGGTAATTACGCGCATATGCCTTTCTGCCAGGCACATGACGTCTATTTATTGGATAAGCAGATCATGTTTACTCATGTTTACAAGTAGATTGGAGATTTAGAAAGTGTGTGAAAATTTTGATTCAGTCCTGAGCCTGAATCAACGTTCTCCTTTTAGTGTAATAATGGGTCTAAATTGAATGCAAACTAAAAGGAAAACACCTGTTTCTGCTAAAAAAAAAAAAACTCTACAGAATAAGGAACAACAAACGAAATAATAGGACATGCAGGCCTAGGCATTTAACTGAAATTGCATTTCCTTTGTTTGTATATGTTGGTCGTAGCACATTGTGATTGGAGCATTGTCTATCAGTCCATCGGTACTCCACGAGGGAGGTATTAAAGGGACACTAGTTCCTGAAATCCCCGAAAATGTCAAGTTTTGGATTGTTTACTTAGCCTTTTTCAAACATCTGGTTGAAAGGAAACCAATCTAATGTCTTACCGTTCTCGAGAAAAGACGGGGAATCAAAACCCGCTTGCGCGGACACGACGGAGTACGAATACGTTTTTCGTGTCGTTCTCAGTGTACGATACACACGTTGTGTGTCTCGGGAACAGCGGTGACGGCAATCAGCAATGCAAAAAAAATGGTTTCTTCAACGTCCGCAAAAGGCGAACACTTTACGACTGAAATCACAACTAGCGTCCAAACAGCTCGAATTCTTGTTATGGGGTCGCAAAAGTGGACCCCGAAATTCGCTCTCGCACGCATAATACAGGAATAACACAAAAACGCCCAGTTTTTAAAGGACAGTTGTGTGAAAGTTTATATCCTACTTTAAATGTAGTTTCCGATTAACATCATCTCGTTCAAAGTGCGTTTTGTAGCCCAATTGGGCCGTTCCAGGCCCCCCCCCCCCCCAGTGTCCCTTTAAGTTAAGATACTGCAACCTAGATGGTAGGGTATCACTTGATGTTTCTTAAACAGGTACCGTATTAATGACACTTTTTTTCTGAACGCTAGAAATCCAAATATTGGAATTATATTCTCAACATAGGACATTATCATCATCCATGCTTGCTTGAGCTTACTCGGATTTCATTTTAAAGGAGGCCAACTGAGGTTAAAACCGGCTATTTTTCGCCTCACTTTAACTGTCTGTAACAGTAACCCATTTATCCTGCGCATGTAAGCCGATCAGCATTTCAGAAATTGATTCAATCGTGCATTATTTTGTTGTGTGCGGCTCAAAATAACACTAGCTGCCTTTACTTCATCGGGCTCACGTGTACACCAAAGAATCTGAGGGCATAAAGACGAAATCAATCACCTGATCTTCGGACATGGCCAGGCGTAATGAAGTTTCAGTGTCTTTCAGAAGTACAATGTAGTATGGTACTGGTTTGCATTGTACCTTTGAGGGCGTCGTCATGAACGGAGCCATGCGGTCAAAGGCCGTAACGGGTACCGGCAAACACCAAAACCCTTTTATAATTTAGAGAAAGTGGAAGTTCTCTGTGCATAATATAACATCCGTTGGTATCTATGCGTGGATATCCGGACTTGACTGGTACGAGCCATGACCAAGGTTATATAGTTCTAGAACTTCCTTTAAATAGGATCATTCAGTACCGAGAAGATTATTGCTGGCAAACGTACGTATGAGTGCACCATTGCGAGATTCTTTGAGCTCTAGTTTGAACAAGGTATGTCAGGGAACTTACATTTTGTGTATGTTTATCGTTGCATTCATTTAATAAAGGTCTACTTTAGAAAGAACAAGAGTTATGTACTTTGGGTTATCTGCATTCGATAGATAACGCAGAAGGAATCAATGAAGGTGTATGTCATGCCATAGAGCCCGACTTTGTCAATTAGAATTAACACATGAACTTTGCTATTGTAATGCAGTTGATTAGGCCCTACTGAAGAGTATACATGATTATATATTTGACTTTTTAAGTGTGGTCTATTGTATTTAGATTTGTCCAATATAATTATATGGCCTCTTATGCGAGTCTATGTTTGCCCAGACCATAGCCCTGTATTTATCGATAATTCATTTTACATGTGGCAGGAAGTTAGAACTTGGCCATAGATCCTGTTCTTCACAAAGTGATTCAGTAGAAAAATACAATTCTATCTTTTGGTTTTGTTTTTGTTTTGTTTGTTTGTTTGTTTGTTTGTTGTTGTTGTTGTATTTTTTTTGGGGGGGGGGGTGTTTTGGTATATTTTGTATTCCCATTAAGTATTTGCCCGCGTTTATTATGTACCTTTCTGAAAACGCCTCTAGAATAAATGTAGGCTTAAACCGAGCATTGAGGCTTAATACGTAATTTAAGAACATGTTTAAAAATGGTTTCTCAGTATAAGAAGTACAATGTTGTGAAATACCCCCTTTCACTATGCAATTGTTTTCGTTATAAACAAAGGTCTATGATTTAATTGTATTAATTAAGGTATGGAGAAATAACACGTAATTTACAGAGTATGTCGAATTTACAGGGGGGGGCAATTCCGTAAATGTGGGCGTGCATACATCACTAATAATGTGACATCCAAGGGGTACAAAACAATTATTTCAGACCAAACTAAGTAACCGTTATCATAAAGATTGTGTACATGTACATCGTGTGTTCGGACTGATACAAATTGCCCAGACTTTGTGTGAAATGGTAATGAAAAGGAGGCCTGTATAGTATAAGTCGGCTGCAAATCATCACAACCGTTACTTTCAATTGCAGTATCACAAAGTATTTTATTCTTATCTATCTCACTACTTTATCCGGTTTATGAGTTTTCATTTCCGTTCCCATGGCCTGATTTCCTCATTTAGTGATTGACCGCAAATATGGCTGGATGGAGTACATGGATCTTTATTGCCATGGTTTCCTGTCTTTCTGAGATTAATTGTCAATCTGGTAAGTTGATCATTCACACACAAGCTTTTGCAAAATGGATTGAATAACTTTCCGGTTTAGACATAAGTTGAACAAGAGGAACACACGTCTTGAAGTGCTATACCAAAAATGCTCTTGCATCCATTTATATTCGGACCTTAAAAAATAACTGCAAGCCCTGTTTAAATTAGTTTCCTGATTGGTGAAATGTATCCATTGTTTTTGGTTTTGCATAAATCTCTGCTTGATTCTTCGTGTCTTTGTTTTTCTTTTTTGAACCCCTTTCCCAGACGGGAATCATCCACAGTATTGCTCAGGTGGAATTCAATTTCAGGATCGATGTTATTGGTTTAGCAGTGAACCAGCGAAATGGCTGGATGCCCATCACAAATGCAACAAATATGGGGCTAATGTTCAGATGACTGTGATTACCAACAAAAAACAACAAGTGAGTACCATTTCCATCCTGTCGCAATGAACGCCCTCAGTTGTTTAAGTTTTCCAACATACGGCCGTTACAAGTAACGTGAAAAATGATTTAAATTCAATTGTTCGTAGTTTGCCTTTAATCAGATTATCTTATTGAAGCCTTTTTGAACGTCTTAATTGTCTTTGAGCAGGATTTCGAAGAGTTTTGCTATTTTTGGACCTTACAAAGTTATACATATTCGTATGATCTTCCTCACCCACAACAAATATTTATCGCCCGAATGCAACTTTTAGGTCCTTTCCGTTTGTATCATAATAGGCCTACCACAGTTTATTAATTTTTATCAATTACATTCAAAAATCCGCAAATCTTTTTTACATTGATATGATGTTCATCCCGTATCTTTGACACAGGAATGGTTGCATTCGACTTTGCCTTATCGCGATCTGTGGATCGGTCTACACGATACACATGAAGATGGCCATTGGCTGTGGGTAGACGGCACGTATCCAAATTATACGTAAGTTGCTTTCTTTTTTCCCCCTTTTTTTACAAATTGCAACCAATCACTACTTTTCTTTTAAAACGGAAATATGAGATTATGCATTAATCGTTTAAGTTAATTTCCTTGTTGGGTTAAAAAAGCACCCGCGAATTTCCCTATTCAATCTTACTTTTGTTGTTTGTCGATGAGATACGAAATCTTTCTTTGATTGCCATAGCAATTGGGCTTCATCTCATCCTTTGAACTCCTCTGATCGTAACTGTGCATTGATGTCTCATCTTGGAGGTCACTGGATGGATCAGCGGTGTCATTCCGAGTATCACTACGCATGCTCATCAACCTGTACGTAGTATTGTCCATTCAAATCGCAGCATCTTAAAAATGTTTTATTTAGGCGTGTAAGCGTGTGAATTGTCATATAAGTTGAAATAAGTAAGCGATAGATTATAGGCTTACTGAACTACACACTACGCCCTCAGCGGTGAAAATGAGAAAAATTTCAAATGCCCTTCATTATTTGCCCCTCTTCGTCAGATAGCACCATCTTTAATTCTAAATGGAACCCATGAGGTTTTAAAAAAAATGCAGCCACATAATAAATTGCCAAAAAAAAAAACTTACAAATATCTTGCGCAGTATTAAACTATTTTTCTTGAACGGATCCTCATAAAACGTAAAGTGACTTTTTTTTATTGATTGCATTCTCTGACTTGCATTTTTTTTTGTTGCATGCAGCTAATTATCCCATTTGCCACGATGGAGGAATATTTTTTCGTGATCGATGTTACTGGCAAGTCGAGGAGAAGAAGAGTTCCATGCAATTAGCTCAATCAGCGTGTGCACAGATTGAGGAAGGAGCACAAGTGGTCATCATCCGAGATGGGGAGCTTAATGTAGGATAATATCATCATTACATTTCCTAAAGCCCGGTTCATACTCCACGCAAATGCGAATGCGAAGCGAATTCGACGTCATGAAACATTCGCTGCGAAATTCGCCCGAGTTGAAATGTGTTCAACTTTTACGATTTCGCAGCGCGAATACTTGCCATGACGTCACAAATTCGCGTTCGCTTTCGCTTTCGCGCCGAGTTTGAACCGGGCTTAAGTCTTTAGGAATTATTGATAGATGTAGGTTGATATTGGTTATAGTTTGGGTTGGTCTGAGCGGGGTTGGTGGTTAAATAATGATGTCACGTAAAGATTGGCAAGTTGGTTTGGTTTGGGATGGAGTGAGTTAAGATGGGCAAGATTTAGTTGCGTTGAACTAGGCGAAGTTGATTAACTTTTGGCCGGATTCCTTGGTGAGCTAATTTAGGCTAGCTTTTAACTTTCTAATTAATTTTGTTTTATGTGGTGATTTTACTGCAGGCATTTCTCTCCAAGTTAGTTTACCCCGTCATGTGGATTGGTTTGACTGACGCTCAACACGAAGGTCACTTTTTTTGGGTTGATGGAAGTGAAACAACATACAGGTATGTTTCATAAAAGATGAACATGCTTCAAATTCTTATCTTATTAGGTGTATGTTTACTTTTGTGACCTCCCCTTTTTTATTGCTTCTTATTATTCCAAGGGGCCAGTCATTGTTTTATAATTGTCTGAGATGTTAGACTCAACCGTATTGCAGTAAGCTTTTTTATTCTCACGTAAGTTATAATTAATCTTTTCTGATTCGTTATCGTTTATTATCCGTGGTAAGTGGGATCGAATCCCTGACGGGGAACGTATGGTGCTTGTGTTCTTGGGAAAGACACTTTACTACAATTACCTCTAGTGTAAATGGGTAGGCATACCAATGAAAATAGAGACCAGAATGCGGTGATCTAGAGTTGCTGTGAAAATTGGTCTCATTGCCTGATGAACAGGGGTAATAATAATTGTGAAGTGCATTGAGACGTGAGGTATAAAGCACTATAAGCACCACATTATTATTGACTTTCTTGGCAGGAATTGGTTGCCGGGCGAGCCCAATAACGACCGTCGTAGAGAGGATTGTGCTACAATGGATTATGGTACAGGTGGCTGGAATGACGTACCGTGTCGTGGATACAGTTATCGTGTAGTCTGTGCAGTGCCACGTAAGTCATATTAATTAATTTACCTCTGTGCATCATGAAAAATGACAAGTGAGTTGCAACATTATCCAGGGCAGCTTTTCATTGTATCAGGTCTAAAAAGAAGGGAGTTTGGACTCCAATCTTGCCGGCGTCAGCACACAAACTCTAAAATACGAATCTAGCGCAAATATCGGCATTTCGATGCGATTGCTTAGGCCTATGCACCATTGCAATAGAAATTAACATAATCTCCGTAGTTTGCCTACTATTTATAATCCCATAATTCATGAACATTACAAATGAAAGCGGCCGAAGTAATATTACCATATATGAAGATGTTTCCATCTATATTTGTAAATGATGACAGCTTGTTCTGATGACGGTGAAGGATCTGGTGGTAGTGGGTTATGTCTTGATGACAGCCCACATTGCTCGTGTGTATCAAGCGGGTACTGCTTAGATGGTGGCAGGTGCCACTGCTTGAAGAGATTCCATGGTATGGTGTGTGATAAAGGTTAGTTAACCCAAACCAATTAGACCCACAATTTCACCAACCTACAAAGTCACAAACAAAAACCTCGATAACAATCAAATCACTTCCAAAGACTAGGTCTGAAGACTCGATTTTGAATTGCCTGCAAACAAACATTTTGACCAAGCGTCGTCAATCTTTGTTGACAAAATCGGACACTGAAAAGTCAAATACAGCTATTATGAAACCATTAGTAAAATGATTGGTCTAACATCGTAGCGTACTCATTTTTGACCAGAACAAATATTCATCACCTTCAACCTATTTTATTTTCTTTCAAAACATTACCTGTACAGCTGATGTCAAAGTGAGTCTGCGCACTGCAAGTCACGTGCAAGAGGGAGAATCCATTGAATTAAAATGTCACGTGAACATCCCTAAGCATGACTATTCACTTCAAATTGAACACGTGACTGCACACTCCCCGGGTAGCCCCCTCCCAGAACACAGGACTAATTTTTTCCTGGATAATGAGGAGAATGGCTACTATAGGGTAAGTATGCAGACCGATCAACCGACCGACTTACATAATAATCTTATCTATAATTAAGTTGAGATACAAGGTATTATCGATCTTTAAAACAACATTTTGCGATTTGTTTCTTAAAGCTACGTTAAGCCAAGGAATCGTTGTGTGGTTCACTCGAGTTTTATATACTGAACCGTACTGAAGAAGACGCCCGCGAAGTGGACCATGTCTGTCTATACCGGCAATAGGGAAATAAAGTTTACACTAATCGTCAGTTGTTTTCTTCAGAATACTTTATATTTACTTGTAATTCATCATTCTTCATTTTAAGGTGGTTATCTACAATACCACTTCCAACGATACAGGAAATTATGTATGTGTTGTTTCAACGTCTGCTGGTGTAGTACCGGTGACAAGAATTGACAGTGCCTACGTCAAAGTCAGATGTGAGTATCAATTATTATAATTTGATGCAGTATCACTCTGAAAGTCTGAACTAAGTGCTTTAAACACAAGTCTTGATATGTATGCATATATAATGTTCGGCAAAGTGGTTTTCATTTCGAGTTACTTTAATTCACTCGAATTTAATTGTCCTTTTCTCGACTTTTTCTTCTTGAACAGCCAACAATTCACCGCATCATATCCCAAAGCCAACACCCGATAAAGGTGAGATAAATGTGACATTTCTCCTTCTAGTTCCGATTAAACAATGAAACATCTTTCATCAACTACCTAACAATGATGATTTTCCCCCCTTTATCTTGTCATGAAACAGTCAAAGGAGACGCAGAACTAACAACAGACGGCAATGCTGGTAAGTTGTCACGTTGATGAAAACTGACAATAAAAACGATACCTAACCATTTTTTTTTTTACATTATCCATAAGTTGATGGTCTACATTTCCATTACCCGCTTTTTGTTGATCACGCGTCATTCACGTTCAATTGAGGGATGATTCAAACAAACGTCTTGTTGTTTTTTTGTTCTTGCAGAGTCTGGATTGACCGTTGCTGTAGCCGTCTTGGCCGCTTGTTGCATCTTACTCATCATTGCTCTGGTTGTTGTCAAGGTAAATAACTATAAAACAAACACAACTGACCATGAACAGCTATGAACAAATAAAACGATTAACAAAAATCAATAACAGCAAAATCACAACAAAATAGTGGCAACCCCCCCCCCCCAAAAAAAATAATATCGAAATCAATATTTACGCGAACCGTCTGACGGGAAGAGAAATCATTTTATGCCTTGATTCTCATTTTGTTCCTATTATTTTCTCCAGGTTCTCGAAGTAAGACGAGAAAAGAATTACGGGTCTGGAGTTCGTATGAGTGCTCTGTTGTCCTAATGACGTCAGTTGCTGAAAATAACAATGTTCTTGTCAGACGTGGATACTGCAAACCTGCATCCTAGCTATCGAATACGTTGTTTAAAATAGGGTTTTCATTAATTTACACTGAAAGATGTCTGAAATCGTGTAGTTAATCGAACCAAAACATCAAACAGTGTACATGTCCCTAGTCACTGATCTATTGCATATCTGGTAGACAGTAAGTCTGGAGATATGTCGGAGAAATCAACTCTCCTCATCGCGATCAGTCACAGCACTTTTGGTAGGTTTGAATAAAATGGATAGCTGCAGGGTTTTTAGGGTATGATAACATGGATGGATCAACTTGCAAACAGTTAAATATCTTTACAAACTTGCCTTTATAAAGTACGTTATGAGCAAGCATTAAGCAACATTTTGCGACTCTGAAATATGTAGTAGTTTATGACTGTACCTTCGATTAAACAACGAATGTAATGTACAAATGTTTACTTCCTTTCGAATGATTGCTTTCCTTAATGCTCTTTACTTGCTATCAATTTAGTTTCGTCGCATGATGGCTTTGCAGGGTTAGGTTTCACTTCCTTAAAAAATGGCACGAAGACTTGTATATATCTTTGGAGTTTTTTTGACAGTCAATAATTAAGCGCTTATTGAATTTGTCAGCACAGAGTAATGAATTAACTCAACATAAGAATGTCACGTGTAGATTACTTCGTCTCCGTTTTTCTTCGTGTCAATAATGAGACTTCCTCCGTTTCTGACAATCCACTCAACATACTTGTGTTGCCTGTTTCACTTCTTCTCAAGTTTATATTACTTGTTGTTTAATAATTGACAGGTTTTATTGATGGTCAATAACGTAGCGAATGTTGTCAGTTCTCACCCAATTCAATGGATTTCTTCCAATCGCAGGGCTTGCCTCATCAAAGAAAATGTCAGATGTAAAATATGGCAATGCCACATATTACACATGTTAATTGTAATGTAATTAAATAAGTCGTTTTCATTTCAGCACCGAGGCAGGTTCTCCTGGGTTTGCCACGCTCGTATCCTATAGTAGGTCAGACAACCGTGGCTTGTAAACATGCGCCCATACATCACAAGCATTGAATCTCACATGTTGAATTGTTTCATGGTTAACAATAAAGCCTGCAGGGAACTTGTACAATTAAATTTGTTTTTAAATTTTTTTTTTTTTTTTTTTTACTTTATTTCATTTTATTTGTCGTCGAGCTTACCTGTCTACGAACATTGTACAGGACTTTGTATGCACGTATAAGAGAAAGACATGAGCTAGGTTGAGCCTAGCTTGATAGTAACGCATTGTATAAAAATGTATTTGTGACATTGAAATTTTTCTTGTTTATCTGCGCAGTCATTAATGCTAGTAAACGCTTGCAAGGTTTAACGAATTGTCAATGGAAATCGAACTTATTTAACATAAAGAATACATACTTTGATTTTAATAAACTGAAAGAAACATTGAAAGAAGCGGAAGGATCTAACACTTAGTTTTACTCCTGACCGTTATTGTCTAACTAGAACCCTGAATATTTACCATTGTTCGTGATTAATTCCATCATCTAGGGGCAAAGGAGCGTGTCTTATTGACATGAAGAGTTCATTACACATCCAATTTGTCATTATGTCATGGAATACGTCGCGTATCGATGACAACGTCCAGGCAACGCAATAATTGCATGGGTATAATTGATCGTTAATACCAAACGTCTTAATCTTATTAACATCCAGTGGATTTATTTACTCTCTGGAGCGATACTTGACGACTTGAACCATAACATGTTAGTGCAGCGCTTAGATAACAACCAATTTCCTCAGTTCTCGTACGCGTCTTGATAAACAAAATCGAGAGTTTGGTTGAGATGATCATAATACTAGGAGCCACATAGGATGCAGTTGATTTTCATCGCTGAGCAAAGCAAGATTTCTTCGTGGACTTGACATGCATGAAAACAAATAGTTGGACTTTGTAAACACGTACAGTATCGACGCAACGGAACTTCGAAAAATCTAGCGACACAACTTATAAACCATTCTTAACTGGTGGGAAGAAAGGAATGTGAGCATCAGGGAAGTAGTGAATAAGACTCGTTTTGGACAGAATGGCTGTGTTTGTATCAGATAACGAAACAACTGTAGGCCTTCTTCTGGATTCGACTGCGAACACATCAAGTACTCATGAGCACAGGGTAGGAGACTTTATCAAAGCATCTATGATTGGTATCACTGCATTACTTATTATATTTGGGAACTCCTTCTGTTTGTTGGTACTTCGTCTTACTAAAAATGCGCCAGTCGTTTCTAGGATCTTCATGGCATCTCTGACTAGTGCTGACCTGCTCAATGGAGCCTTAGTCGTAGCTCCAGTCTGTGTTTCGTCGGCATTAAACACCTGGCCAGTAATAAACAAACCATTTTGCTACTTTCATGAGATTGTGTCATCCATGTTAGGTGCTATCACAGTCATGTGTTTGTTTGTGGTAAGCATTGATAGGTACATCTCTGTGTCCAGACCACTACGATACGAGACCCTCATGACGAAAAGAAAAGCACTGTTACTAATTTTAGTGGTCTGGGCCCTTCCGTGTCTTACTCGTATTGCTCTGACACCGTATGGAAGTGGTTACGAAGTTGTGTTCCGTGAAGACAGTGATATGTGTTGGTTGGCGCATGATGATCCTCTTGGTATAGCTTATGCCGTTTTCTTATTACTCTACATCGTTCTCCCATTTAGTACAACGTGTGTAATTTATGTAAGACTCTTCCTCCTAGCGCGTCGTCATACTCGTCACATCGCCTCACAACCGTCTGATTCCAGCGTTCATCGGCGACGACCCGTCAGTCAATTCCGAAGAAATACCAAATCAGCAATAACATTTTGCGCCTTGACTGTCACCTTTGGTATCTCATGGACGCCATTTGTTATCAGTTGGTTCTACCGTATGCTTACCGACGATGGACCTTCAGAGGTTATTGTTATACTAATACAACTTGCTAGTTTCTCCAACAGTTGGATCAACTGTTTGGTTTACTATTTCAGAAACAAAGTTTTCCAGAGAACTGCAAAAGAACTGCTTCAACGTGCCCATCCCAATTGTTGCTCCAACAAAGTAGTGCCCGTTGCTATATAAGTCCAACACAGACGGACAACGATAGTGAAAATGACGCCGCTCGTTTTCCTCTGTCAACCGTTAACTTAAAGTAAAAACGTCCGACTACTAAATTAATTCGAAGGTCACCTTGTTTTATCATTGTTGTAAGAAAGTTAAAAAAAAACAAAAGTGGTGATTCCGGCCATGTTCATTGTTAGAGGGATACGATCATGTTTAATTAAAGAGTAGTTCCCTGTGCTATTCGAGTTTCATCTCGAAAAATATATTTAAATTATTAAATTGCTATTTTCCTAGAAGTATGTAAAAGTTAGTCACTTTTGAATGAGACATCGACCGAAAAATGCATCGATAGTTATCTAATGATTTCTTCACAAAATTCACATGATTGGCTACCAGACACTAGTTTGGCTCTCGCAAGCCAGTGCAGGTTCATCTGTGCGTAACATTTTTTTAAAAAAACGCAATTTTTATAGAGGGTTTCAGACGTCCCACATCGGAATAAAGTATTCATTTTCGTTAAGACATTTAAAACAGAAAAAGAAATTGGGCGAAAAAAAGTAAATTTATTTAAGAGTACGGGGTATGCAGTTTATTTAATAATCCTACTTCCTCGATTTTTGTTAAAAGTTTCATTAAAAGGGCTATTTGGACTTAATCAAGTGCGCATGCCTCGACGTCACATTGTCTCTCGCGTTCAGTCTTTGGCTTATCATTGATAAGTGGTTTCCTGGCCTTTGATTTATACGTTAAAAAGTTGTCTTATAATATGTATGAGTAAAACAAAGTCATTACTCTCATATCGGACGCTTCAGTTTTGTAGCTTCTTGAGTGCGAACTGTTGCCAAAATAATATTTATTGTTTTCAATTGTTATCGTAGGCCCGTCTTTTTCTCATTTATTTCAAACGATGTAATTGGGCATCGTTTCCTATAGCCTAGTTAAGTTCAAGGCGGATGTTTGGCACTATAGATGTTAAGCTGTTACCGGGGGTGGTTGGCATTAAATGCTATCATATTTTTTTCATAATTTTCCTTTCTTGTGGATTCCCTAAACCCATCGTACCTGGTAGATCAGCCACTGTCGGCTAACTTTTTAAGGCGAGGACGAAGACTTTCGTCTGCTCATATCATTCGATATGTTTTGCACAACTAAACGATCTTTATGCCGCTCAGTCGCGTTTCATCCATCAATCTGTTGATTTCTTTCTTCGCATCATGTTTTCATTAGTTATTATTCATCAGTAGCATGAATGCAATTCTAACAAGTAGAAAGCCAAAGAAAGTACAGGTTAATTTTTGAACAGAACAAGTGATCCGTGCATGAGATATTGAGAGTGGGATATGCATCGTTTCGATTGTCACTCTTCTGACGCACAGAGACTCGGGGTCAATCTAAGTCGACATTAAACAAAAAGACGGTTTCGTTGGTTTCAGGGAATAAGCAATAACCAAAATTTAATTTCTCGACCCTTATAAACTCCGTCCATAACAGGGATAGCTATATCCTCTTAAAAAATACTACTTGCATGGGCGTCGCCAGGATTTTTTTCTAGAGGGGGGCAACAAAAAAATTTGCCAAAAAATGCTTGTATTTCTCAACACATTCTCAATTTATCAGTTTTAGAGGGGGGCAGGGACATTTTGCCCCCCCCCCCAACTCATTAAATGTACACCACTTTGTCTTCGCGCCTCTTTTTCTTTCCTTTTTTTTTTTTTTCTTCCTTTTTTTTTTTTTTTTTTTGCTTTTCCGGGGGGGGGGCAAGTGCCCCCCTTGGCCCCCCCCCCTCGCGACGCCCATGACTACTTGCATTATATTAGTCAATTAATAAGATTCAAAAGATATTAGTCTATTTCATGTGACTTAAGCTATTTTCCTGAAAATATAAGTTGTATATTAATTAAAAGAATTGATAATAAGTGTTGGGTTGTAGAATTTCACGTAGTTGAGTTGTATTTTAATTGATATGCCTAATTGTGCCTCTATTTCAGTAGTGTCCTAGTTAAGATTGTACTGTGAGTGTTTTTAAGGCTAGAATATGTTGTCTGGCAATGATTAAATTAATCTGAATCCCTTAAATGTTGGTTACATGTAGTCGAAAAGTACTTACAATCATTCCAAATATTTCTTAGTTTTGTGTGAAGTTTCAACGTTAATTTTTTGGGCTGCTGTTGGGGCCCTGCAAAGATGTGATTAAAGGCCATCATTAAACTTGAAAATGAGTCTGACACAGGACGATCTTATTCAGAAACAACAAAAAGTTTGGGTGGATTCCATTTTCAGAGGTTAAACCTTTTGGGGGGGGGAGTCTCAAAATTGATGAAAATTTTCGGAATAAAGTGGCTTAGATATGCAGAGTTTATATCCAAAATGCAACAAATTTTAACCTTGCACATATATCAAATTTTAACCCTCCAATGCAAACATACAAAGTTGTCCTTTCAGTCAAAGTGAGTCAAGTGACTGTAACAGTTAAGAGCTCCTAGCCTACATACAAGGGCGGATCCGATGGGTGGCAATGGGGGCCCCCCCCCCCCCCCCCCCCCCCCAGAAAAAGAAAAGAAAACGAACCCATTTTATTTTTTTAAGTGACGTCGCAATAAAGGCAGACATTGCCTCCACAACCATATTTTCCTCAAAAAATAAATTGGTTAAAGTGGTCAGAAATTGCCTCAGATCGCACCACAGAGATTATAGAATCCAACCCATTTCTAGGCCCTCCCCAAAAATTGTATTCTGGATCCGCCCTTGCTTACATAAAGCAGGATTGACTGGCTGTGACTGTTCATGTAACTTGAGCCAGCTATGCTTTGACTGTAGGTGATTGATAAGCCAGCTGTGCCTACCAGTTGCCTGCTTTTGTCTGTTGACTGAGTTTGATTAGTCACAGTGCTTTTTTGAAATATGTTCTGACTGTTGGTGACTAGCCTGTAAAAGGCATGGTGGGGAAGAGGATTTTTTTTTGACTGTCTATGACTGTTCAGACAGCAGGAGGGTTAAAAGAATAAAAACAAAACAGTTGTTTGTAAAGTCCATTTTTCGCTTCAGTGTCTTCTGAAATTGTGTTTACTGTAGAAAATAATATTGGGCAACCGAGAGATCGGGATTCTAAAAGAAAAACAACAACAACATTTATTGCCTTTTGAAAAAAATAACTCTTTAATTAATATTACGTAAAAGATTAAACGTGAGAGGAATTAAATGTTAAATCCACCAAGAATTAACAAGTGCACCGTCTTTTATTTCTTGTCATGGCATTTATTTTATAGGTTGGGCATTTTTTTCAAAGCCATGTTCTCAGTCTTGAGATCAAAGGTGTTTTTATCTAACCCTCCCCGATTGTCTCCAGCAATTTTTGTA